AGAAAGATGCTGAGCTTGTTCCTGAACTGAACCTGTTAACGAATAGATTCAGTTCTTTGGTTCTGTCCAGACCTCCATCTGTCTGATCATCCTTCTGCTTGAACCCTGGGATCTTCTTCACCTCTGATATTGTTCTGCTGGAGCTCGTTTTCCAGACTCTTCCTCTCTGTCCTCACAGAAGTTTATGTAGTCAGTGACACACTCCCAAAGATTATGATTATATTAAATAACTAGAATTGGACGTTATAGTTTATTAATAGGTCATTCAAATCAATGGTAAAAGCTGTTAAAAATTCAGTTGTCTTTCACCAATTTAGTAATTTAGACTATGGCTATTAGCAGAGTTATTAATCACCAACTAAATAAACGTGACTCTGTTCATTCGGATGCTACTGAAAGAAGAGAGAATCCAGCCTGAGTGATAAATCGTTCACTGCAAAAAATAAACACAAAGGACTGCGAGTTAAAATACAGTGGTACCTTTATTAGCTGAAATCACACAGTGATATCTAATAAGTAAAACTAAACACCACTGAAAATAAGCCCAAATAAACCAATAAAAGGGGAAGAGGCGTTTAAAAGTCCTTTCAACTCTGAGGGATGTTCAAAGTTTAAGGCTTAATGCATTTGAAAGACCCCCAGGGGGTCTGGCATGCTCTGGGTCGCTTCCGCTGAAAGGAACAGAGGTTGACTAACGATGCGCCCTCTACAACGTGTCCTGCATGAGGTAGCTGGGAGCTAACCATGCTAGCCACTCCACTGCAGCAGCGTCTTTACACCCAGGTGGCTCGTTCAGTCTGCAGTGAGCGTTAGCATTCATCTAAACTCTTAAAACCATCAGCAGTTGAATCAAATCGCTTATTTCAAATTAAAACACAAACACGACTATCTGTTCTACCTGGTTCACCTAAGCAGAGCGCCTGTTAAGCATTGGATGGAAAGATGAAGGATGATGGTACTGCTTTGGGTCTGTTCGGCTTTCTGCAGTCCAGACTGTCCATCCAACAGCAGCCTGGAACGTTTCCTTCTAGCTACGGAGGCAGCAGTGATGCTAACCACAGCGAACTCTCTGAGCAGATAGAACGGCCTGCAGTTAAACCATGTCTGGAGAGCAGAAGCTGGAGACCAAACTAGGCTTTTTACACCAGTGGTTATTGATAGAAACACACAGACCCCCCCCTCCTCTGATCCTGCCGCTGAGTTCGGCGTTCCTAACAGCATGGTATAAAGTTAGCCCTCCAGGCTACCAGCATTAATGAAGCCGTGACTCGGTCAGGATGACGGTGCAGCAGTCGCTAGTCTCCTTTTTTTTAGAGACACAGATTTAAATGTAGGATATTTCTTGATAAACTGATCACATTGATGAAGCCTTAAGGTGGACTTTCTTTCTGAAAAATATCTTAAAGCTTATTTTGTGACAAACTTAAAGTGTGAAAAAGTATGAATGCAGTTTTAGACTCATCTTCAGAGGTTACTGCTTCCGCTGGTGGAATACCGCCGACCCTGAACAAGCCCAGGTTCACAGCAGGTCTGTATAGTTGGACCAAAGCCTCCTTCCTCAGTGGTTTCCTCTGGTCCCTCACTTTACTTTTAAAAATATTTGAATATAATCATTTGAAAATGCAATCAGCTATTGGTCTCAATGGAAACGTCACCTGACAGAGAGCCATGTTATGCTGTTCAAGATGTATCTGACACATATGGAAAAGGATTAGGGCCACTGAAAAAAATAAAAAAATAACTGATTTTTAATTATTATTTCAGTTTATTATGAGAAAAAAGTCAGAATTCAGATTTTAATCTCAGAATTCTGATTGTATTATGACAGCTAACAAACTTGTTAGCATCAAGCCATAGCCATGTCTGTTTTAGAGATTAAACTGAAACAAAATAAAAAAATTAGTTCATTTTTTTCCCATCATGATTTAGTCCCTAAACATTAGGCTTGTTTTTTTTCACAGCCTCCCAGGGTTTGGTTGAAAGCATCTGTTCAGCTGCAGGTTTTATTATTAAAGTTAAACATTACAGTGACAGCGCCTGTAGCTAAAAGCTCTTCTACTGATGCTCGTTTTTCCTTCAGTTTCATTACAATAAAACCAGAGTTAGCAGAACTTTCACCACTTAGTTTTTCAGGTTTTCAAAGCTGCGAATAGTGCATGGAGGAAGCGACATTTTTAGAGTTCAGACACAAACCAGCTGCACACCTGAACGTCCATCATAACGATCACCTGATTGTCAATGACAGACTCAGAAGGTCTGATATGAGTGATTGCTAGAACACTTTAGGCTGCTTTGACCTTTCGTGTAACTTTTAAGATCTGATCATTTTCTTCCAATGTCCAAGAAGAGTCCCCTACTGAGACTAATAGAGTCAACTTGGAAAGAATTAACAGAAAAAAAAGGTATTGTTGAAAGAAAGCACTCAGACTCTGGGCTTGAAAACAAAACCATCTTTTTATTTCATCCGGTGGTTCTCAGCCAGCGCGGCACCACAGGCTTCAGCAAGGGTGACAGAGGACAGAATGGCAGTGGAAGCTTTCCTCTCAGAGGAAGGGAAGGGGCAGAGGGGGTAGGGGGTAACTGTGGTTGCGGGGTCTTGATTAAGATTTATGTCTACATTTGCTCTTTGCCAGCAGCCACTGCCTGCTGTTGGAGAAGCTTGCTCATGCAAGCCATTCCTTTGCTGTGATGATTGAAAGACTTTTCCTAAATGTGTTTTATGTCAAAGCATTTCCTTTCCTTTAGGGCCGTGTGTCTCACTCTCACTTTGAAAACTCTCAGAAAGGATCAAGATATGCTGGAAGCAAAGACTCTAATAGGAATCTGTTATGCTTCAAAAGTATCTTTTAATATCTGTAAGTGCAGCTCTGTGCACTCTTCCTTAACGTGCCGACCTGTAAAGCAGCCAGTGCTGTGAGGTTTATTGTTTTAGTCTTGGCTAAACGCACTAAGTCTGTCTTAAAGAAACCGCTTCTTCTTTTTTTTAAAACATTTAATCTGCTATCACTTGTTCAGTGAAGAAGAATTACAACAAAAAGTTTATTTCTACTGCTCCAGTTCACATCCTGTCATCTCAGGTCGATTTATAGATCCAGATCAACCAGATCATCCAGTCAGATTGATTCAAAGTTTTCTAAGGGAAACCAGCTGATTGAATCGACTCGTTGACTCTTCAGAACAGACCTTTGTTTAGCTAACAGCTAAAGTGTTTAGTTTCTGTTGATAAGCAGCCATAGACGACCGGCTTTAGAGTTGGTTAATTATTCACTTCCTTTGTTTATTTGGATCCATAAGGACACTGAAACGGATCAACAGTTTGATCATTAGTTCTCCTTTAATATGTTTTTCCATAAGATATAAAAACCATACTGCAAAAATATGATATCTAACACTGTAGTGCTGGTATTTACCACCTGTTCATTGCTTTGTCTTCTCTGTTATCTGCTGCAGGTGGAAAACGGTTGATGTTCTAGTTGTTGGGAATTATTACTAATTCCTCCATTTAAAAAAAAGGCTCATTAATTTAAAAAGCTGATTTCAGAAATTCAATTTTGAGGAATAGTTTGTGGCTTAAAATCATCTTGAAGCTGGTATTTGAGATAAAAATGTTGGTATTAAAACTAAATGTCTTCATTCATCGCTTCACTTCTCTCGGTGGTGCGATGCTTCCTGCTTCCACAGCCTTCATCAGTCCGTAGGAGACTTTTAGCTCCTAACTCTAACCCAGACTGGAAGCCTTTTAGGAAGGAAAAGCTAAGGTGGAAATAATCGGGTAAATTTGTGTTAAAACGTGTCCAGCAACAAGGCGAGGCCTATAGGGGAAGATGCTCCACTCCCCTCAGCATGCTGGATACTCAACCTGAACGTACTTCTCTGTGTTTTTTAGGTGAGCATAATGTGTGCAGGAAAAGAGTCACAATAAGAAAGCAGTGTTTGCTTTTTCACATACAGCGCTTTAAATTATTTCACTACTCAGACGTTTTATACTAACATGTCCTTAACCTCTTACACCCTCAGGGGTATAAATAAATTTCTGCCTGACAAAAACACACAAAAGTAAATCACTTATAGCCTCACAGCTATTAGATTTAAGAAGAAACTTTTGGTACGTCTGTAAAGGTAAGATGTCATAGAATGGTTTTCTGGTGTCAGCACCATTGTAGCTTTGACCCTGCCTGAAATATTAGGGACAAAATACAAAATATTTTGCATTTTTTGAACCTCGCCAAAATTTTCTTTGAAATAAACATTGCAAAACACTACCAAAATATTATTTATAGCACAAAAAAGTAGTACAGACTTTTAAATCTAAATGTTGTGTAAAAATATACCAAATTTGGACTCAATTAGATGAGTCATATTTATTTAGAATGGTATTAGTGAGAAATTTCTTAGGCGGAGAGGCCATTTTGGCACATTTATCCAAAAATGTCACCAAACTGTGCCAAATGTGTTTTTTACATCAATACTGGGGGTTTGGTAAAATTACGAGGTCACGTAGCAGCTGGACCCGCCGGTGGGTCCGTAGGGTTCTAGGGGTTAACATGGTTGGAGACGCATCACCTGCCAATCTGTGCCAATTACTGTTAATAGTTAATACAGGCATGACTGGAGAATGAATTTTCCTCAGATTACTTAGAACGTTCTGCTGTAATTCTGTTCAACCGTCCAACTTTAAGTGTGAAATATCAGAAAAGTATTGATGGTGTTTGTGTGTTTGCAGGACGAGCCCCCCGTACTGCTGTGCTGACCTGTACTCCTTAAGGACAGGTGAAATGGTGAAATCCATTCAGTTCAAGTCGCCCATCTATGATCTCCACTGCAACAAACAGTAGGTGTGATAAACGCGTTTCTGCTGTGTGACGGTTGCATCATATTAACAGTCGGTTCCTCTCTCTGCAGTATTCTAGTGGTGAGCCTCCAGGAGAAGATCGCAGCCTTTGACAGCTGCACCTTTACCAAGAAGTTCTTTGTTACAAGTAAGGATGTTTTCCTGCCTGTCCGTCTATAATCAACACATTTCCTGGAGTTTGAACTGACAGCCAGATTGTTATTTCCAATCCAACCTCGGCCATTTAAATATACATTAGAGATGTTTGGCTTACATCATCCGACCATTTCTAAGGTCAGAGGTGCTTTAGGAGGCGGTGCTTAATGCGCTGAATGTGCTTTACATTTTATTTCCCTTCACCTCTTCATCTAAAATAACTATTTACAGCATTAAAAAAAGAAAATAAGAGAACAGTGATGCTGCAATTCTATTTTTTTCTCTCATTGGCTTTTCTCCTAAAACTTGTTGCTTATTTTCCTGCTTTTGTAATTTTAATGTCAGATTCCAGATTTAATTCCTGAACTTTGAATCAGAATAAATAAATAAATGTTTGTTGATCCAACATGTAACATGAACTAAAATGATGTCATTCAGCAGTTCGATCATTAGTACTTTATTAATAGGTTTTTACTTAAGATGTGAAATTCATTCTGCAAAAATATTATATCTAACACTGTAGTGCTGGTATTTATTCACCAACCACCTGTTCATTGCTTTATCTTCTCTGTTATCCGCTGCAGGTGGAAAACGGTTGAGAAATCTCAGACTGCAGTTGATGTTCTAGTTGTTGGAATTATAACTAATTCCATCATTAAAAAAAAGGTTCATTAATTAAATAAGCTGCAGTTTAATCTTTTCTGGGATCATCAGTGGATCAGAGCAGAAACAACCGATTATTTCACTGAAATAAAGTCTCATTCTCCAGATTGTTCACTTATTGATAGTTTTAGGAATAACTGGAAATAATTCAGTTCTTTTTTCCATTTAAAAACTAAAGAACTCACTCTGTGGTGAAAATAAACAAAAGTGTGTAAAGTTTCACTCATTGGGTTTGGACTTAACTTTAAACAGTATAGATCTATTTTAATAAAATAGGTCAAATGACATGGAAAACCAAACATAAATAAAAGAATTGATGCATAATAGAACCTCCCCTCCGTTTAAGGGAGGATTTCTTCATATTCTTCTTTTAGGACGGATGAAGTCATTCAAACGTTAAACATTTAAAAAGTTTCATCAGCATCGTTTGCTTTGATCATAAACGCTCCAAAGACGGACGAATAAAAAGGTCTGGAAATGTTTGGATGTCAGGAAACCTTCCATCGGACGACGATGATGATGATGATGATGATGATGATGATGATGGAGTCCTTCAGGTTGGTGCGACTGAGAGTCGGTCCCCGCTCTATAATCACCAAACTCCTTCGTGCCGAGCCTCAGCGCTGCCCGTTGATGCGTCCGTCTGATGGAAGCGCTCGCAGCACTCAGGCTCTGTCCTCCTGACATCATCAGGGACCTCACAGCCATACTGTTTACAGCATTACTCTTTTATCTTGTTTGCTGTACCTTCATGCTCTGCTTAAGGAGGCTGTGAAAGAAAGACCAGACTATTACAAGGCCATGGCTGTCCACTTAAGTCATTGACTGGAGTAAACTGACCTTACCGACGGCTTTAATGTGTCTCCTGGTTGTCTGCCTGCCTTCCCTATCAGCGTCTGGGCAACAGGAAACCAAACAGGCTCAATAGTTATTAATCGTTTCTGAATGCAGAGCCTCTTTTCATAACGGCTCCATCAGAGCAGTAAACAAAGGACCCTGAGATGTTCTGGGATCTGCTTTGGATTAGCCTTTCTGTGTCATGGTTCCTGAGAGCCGGCTTCAGGTGAGCCGCGTCTCTCAGCAGCTGACCCAGGAATCAGGCCTCGCCTTTCTACCTTTATCCTTACTTCAACTCTCTGGATGAGGACCACTTCTGGTTTATCCTGCAGGTGTTAGGAGAGGGTGGGAAGGAGCAGCTCCCTGCCGGGTTTTTGTAGACCAGAGTCAGACCTGACCTGGGGAGCCTCAGGTCTCCAGCTTAACAGTCCAGATGTAGAACCAGAGCTTCACATGTAGCCATGTTCAAAGCTAAACTCTGCTCCTTCATTGAAGGAGAGGAATCCTAGAACATTCCTGAAGCAGCCTTCAGCTTCCCCTCAGCTGCCTGTGTGCGTCCGCTCACCGACCTCCTGCTCTGGACCGTTCATTTCTCTCCTCCTCTATCTAAAGATGAGGAGCAGTGATGGGTCGATGGTGGAGCAGAATTAACCGGCTCCACCTGACGGGCAGCAGCGAAGGCCTCCTCTGAATACGCTTTAGGAAACATTCTGGAATCCACTTTCTATCCCTGATGCTGAACGATGTGGTTTAAGGTGTTGATGGCGGCTTTGCTGAGCCTCTTCTATCTTCTGCTAGCAAATCCTCGGTTTTAGGTTTGTTGTTCATGTGTCCTATGAAGCGCACTGTGATCTGAAGAATGACGCAACAGACCTGCAGATAAAAACAGTGAAACTTTAACTAGACCATCCTTTCTGACAGGAGTCAGTGATGGTTGGGATCATGAAAAATCTCCATGTGATTCCAGAAAATCCTGCTCTAATCAGACTTCCAGGTTTTTCTGTTTTAATGAGAAGTGTTTGAGGATATCTTAGCACAGACAGTTGGTCACATGACCCATGCTCTTCTGGACCAATCAGAGGGCAGAGAAACATTGTAAAGATCCACAAACACCAATAAACAGCAACCTTTAATTGTTTTTAGTTTGGAAGAGGCTCTGATGTAGAAGTAGAGCCTGTTTGCAGTAAGCAGCTAGAAGCTCCTCTGATAGCAGAACAAGCTGTGAATCGCCGTTTCCACCTGGTGTCCTCCTGCATGGTGCTGACTGAACCATAACCTGTGGATGACTCCGCTCTGCATACCTGATGAGCAGCGACTGCCTGCTTTCTGCCTGCTGCAGTCCGTTTATTGGCTGCCACAGACCCCATTAGGTCACGCAGAGACGTCACCCTCATTAAACTCCCATTTATCTTCCAAACCAACAGGCGGGACGCAAACACCCTAATGGAAGCGGATGCATGTTTATCCTCCATGGAGGAGCGTAATTTAGCTAAATGTTTTGATCCTGTTATTTTAATAAAGCGTGTGTGGTTGGTTCCTAGGCTGCTATCCGTGTCCCGGTCCCTGCCTGAATCCAATCGCTCTGGGAAGCCGCTGGCTGGCCTACGCTGAGAACAAGGTGGTCTGCACCCCCCCACCCACACACACACACAGAACACATTCATCTTGCAGCAGAATTGCCTTATCTCAGAGAAGCGACATATTTACCCTAAAAATAAAATGCTTTTTATCTGTTTTCTGCTTCTTTAATCTGTCTGGATAAACAACTCATTCCAAGAAGAGTCCACTACAGATGATAAGGTTTTTGAAAATCAACAGATGCGCAGGCATTTTCTGTTTAATGGGATTGTGGAGTATTTAGAAAAAACAGAATGTTCTGCAATACATTTAATGCATCACCATGTTTTGGTTCCGGCCACTCAAGTAATGGACAGATGGGACTGCCTGAGGATTTTCTCAATTGACAAACGTAGCTCTCTGAATTGTGGGCGGGGCTTATGCACTGAATTAAATCAGCAGAGATTAGCTGTTTGTTCTGCCTCCCTAACAAAACCACTTCAGTGGAGCCTTTGAGTGTCTGCACATTCATCAGCATGTTGCCTGAACTCTCTCTGTTTCTCTGTCTGTCAGTTAATAAGATGCCATCAGTCCCATGGAGGAGCCTGTGGTGACAACGCTCAGTCCTACGCCGCTACAGTCATCAATGCTGCCAAAGTAAGCTGGATCTGAAGCACCTCTAGCCCTGCCGGCTGCACATGTGTGGTTCCTCTCCTGCCTTAGACCTGATCAGGGCTGTTAGCAGTAGGACAGAGCAGGAGGACAGGCCGTTAGTCCCAGCAGGGCTCGGCATTATCAAAGGAATCAGGTAACGGCGCTCAGTAGCAGGAGAATAACCCAGGTAGCAGGCCCTGCAGCAGAGGCAACGATGCTCGGATTAAAAGGTTCATGCTACTGATGAAATGATCTTTGACACCAACCAGAACATCTGGTTCATCCTCAGAGCTCCGCCTCCTTCAATAGAGGAAAGTCTGTGATTAAGAACGAGCACCAAGAACCCGGCAACCATCAGACGCTTTGAACTGATGACAGAATCTATGATCATTTCATAGCAATGAAATCTGTTCATCAAAAAATGTATTTCACTAAATTTAAATTAAATGTTTGAAAACTAAATTAAATTCCTCTGAAAATGGAAAATATCCTTCACCAACTAAGCAGGGTTCTCACACCGGGTCCTCACACCGGGTCCTCACACCGGGTCCTTAAGCCGCCTCCTTAGGGTCCTTACGCCGCGTCCTTACGCCGTGTCCTTAGGGTCCTTATGCCGCGTCCTTAGGGTCCTTACGCC